CATTATTTGCAGCAAGAGTAGAAGCTAAGACTGCTAGGAACTCGCCTGCTATGGTAAAAAAGCGCAATATAACGACGAGGAATCCAAATGTGTACGTGAATTTCTTTAACTTAGCTTCTTTGCTCAGCTTTTCCGCCGGCAAAGCAACGAAAAAATGTATTATGACCCAGAATAAACCAAGCACTGTAATTAATAAGTCGATCCGATTGCGTCTACTCTGCCAAAATCCGGAGACCGTAAACGCGATCATTTTGATGAAAAGCTGCAATCAAAAATTTAGTTCTGGTGTAGGGCTCACCTAACCAACATTTTGAATGCATCAACCCGAAATCAATGAATTATCGAACTACAGAACCTTGAAAATTCTTAAATGGGGTGCTATAGAAGTTTTGTCGAGAAGTGTACCGCATAAATTCAGGAGTATCATCTTTTACGAAAATTGTTCTTTAAGGTGTCTTTTTGTCATGCGGATTATATGTGAATCAGCGACCTTACTGTATTTGTCAATAGTATTTTCGGAAACACTACGCTGCTACAATCATTCTGCGTGCTTGCTCTAACTTTATGAAATAGATGTTACAACCTCAACAGCAAATAACATATTAATAACTGCCGAGAGAGCAGTGGCAAAGAATAGCTTATATTCTTCATTATTGATTTTACGTTCCGCTTCCTCCTCAACATTCCACGGTATAGCTAAAGTTGCAGAATTTATTAGCACCAAAGTAGCGAACACCTGCAAAAGCACTTGCAGTCACATAATAATCATATTAAATAAAGTTTACACTTACGAAAAAGATGTGACTGTTTGTTTTGTGAGAACAATTACCTGGTTGAAAAACCGACTCATCGAAAGTTCGTACAATCTCGTCCGCAATTTCGCAGATTCGGGTGGCTTTGGTGGTACATGCAATGGCTGTGCCATTTTCAGCCGTGCTTTCAGATCATGCCATCGTCTTTGGTCGACAGTTAGCAGTGCTGTACCCTAAATCATGACTTTTCAATGAGATCTAGCGGAAAAACTAAACACATTTTTACCTGGCCTGATTACGTAAACCACCAGGTTTGATGTTTCCCAAAGAGAGGTAGGTATAGCACAGCCCTCAATATCACATGTATAAAGTGGATGCAGTTTGCAGCTTTGCCAAGCTTCCTTTTCACATAGTTTCATTTATGCAACCACCAATTGGAAAAGTGACGCGACAGGCACATTCCAACCAGTGATTTTAGCTGTTTTTGCAAACACAACAACAATCTTCCGTGCCTCTCATTTCAACAAACTTTTTGCTTTTTACATGGCCATAACTGGAGCTCAGGCATTCTCCGTTAAACCCCTTTGCCCACCATAGCCAGTTATTGTTTATCCATAGTTTTAGTTCCCGAAGAGTTCATCCTGCATTCGTATCGATTTCTGTAGCAAAAGTATGTTTCTTGGTCACAGCAAATAATAGATGATGTATGAGTTAAAGGAGGGCTGCAGCACAGGCATCATCTGAAGGACATAGAACATTCCTGTGAAATTTCTGGTTCCTGTCTTGCCCGGTTTTCAATTTTCTTTACTTCCATTAAAAAATTATGTTTTCTTTCCGACGTCTGTAGTATACCCAAGTGTATGCGAACGGTAATTTTAAAATGGGAGAGTCATGCATAGGACAGGCACATGCTCCAAAAGTTTCAACTTTCCATCTTCTCTGGTTATCGAATTGAAAATGGATGGCAAAATGCAAACACAGAGACACCGGCAACCCCTTGCCAATATATGTGTTTGCATTTGCATAAACGGGCAAAAACGCACAAAATTTACCCGATTTTCGGTGTAATTTGCGATGACAACTCCAACAAACAATGTTAGACCAATCATACAGCCGATAAATACATAAATGTGTATAAAAATAACAGCCCACTGCAGTAAACATTAGAGTTAAAAATGCTAGTTGTACTTGATTGCCCTAAATTATTCGAGGAAAACAAAGAAAAACTGGCAAAGACAAAATAACAAGCAACAAAAAATAAAGATACACCACTCCATAACCTACAAACTTGCGGAAGACTTTTAGGTAAGGAAAGAAATCACGCATTTGATCCTGAAATGAATGAATTTCATCAAACTTCCAGCACTTTTGCAGTGCGATTCATAATTAAGGTAAAAACTGGCTTCGAATTTCAACTGTTACAAATATACTAGCGCATTTTGGCATACAATCGACAGCTTACTGGGCCCTGACGTTGCCAAACAATATCACGAATAACATTCCATCCTTTATATGAAAGTGTTTCGAATAATGCAAGCATACCATTTCCGACATGATCAAAGTTGAAGTTTCTAGGATTTGTCCTGGAATTGTTTACCTGTGATTAAATGTTACTACCTTTGCTGACACACAAGCATCGAACATGCGGTGGTCAGTTCCTCAAAAAACATCGGTATCTGAACCACAGAGTGATATTAAAGGAACAGTGGCTGTGAAAAATAAGCAGATGGCAGAAACGTGAAAAAGTAGAAGAGCACAGAGATCTCGTATTTGCAAATGGTATTTTTACATTTCTGGGATTTCTTCTTTGTTTTTGAACTTGATTATTAATAATTATTAGCATGCCAAAACAAAGAATGCCTGAACAATCGGTGTGGGGATCCATGTTAGTAATAATACCGAGATGTTCGCACATCTCGGGAAGAGCTGCACCAGGCATCCCGACCCTGGGCTTCATATCTTCAGTTAGTAGTGCATCACTTTTGCCTGCTCGATGTATAAGCGTCATCCCCGAGCGGTTCTTTATTTCTTCGCAAATATCACTTGTAAACAAACGACGCCCACCTTTTCGCAAGCAACATCGGATCATAGTTTTTCTTGGGTTCGCACAGTCCATTTTGCTCGACAGTCTAAGGACAACGACGATGTTGTGAAATCTATGACAGCAAACAGCCCTTCTTCCCTGGCCAAAGTAGACAGAACAGTCAACTTCTTCAACGACAATGCCGTTTATCAATAATCAGTAGACAGAACAGTCAACTTCTTCAACGACAATGCCGTTTATCAATAATCAGTTCATAGCCATATGGCATTTGCGTTAAAAATCATTGGCGGGCCCGTGCGATCATGCGTTTTTGCAGTGTTTCGTGCTGCAATAAGATCACTCGAAATTCC